AAGAGCAAAGTGGGAAGTTCTTGGAGGGAAGGATACCGAGGGTCTATTTGGAAACAGCCTTCCTACTTCAGGGTAGGGGTAAGGTCTGCGTACACACTACCCTTCCCAGACCCCACTAAGTGGGATTATACTGGGTTGTTGTTGTTGTTGTTGTTGTTGTATATAGTCAAGAATTTCAAGTCTGATAAGTTTCAAACAAGTACCTTTATAATCTATCAGCAAAAGAACTTCAGCCACGACTTAGAGCCCCCATTGCTCAAAATCCCATCAAATTGTTAAATCTTCCAAGTACCACCATAATCAACATAACCTTCCATTCTCTTCATCAACAAGAATTCCCTTCCTTAAACCATAATAACATCAGGAACAAAAATGGTTGGTCCCCATGCCATTCAAACCGTTCAATCAGTTGTTGGGAATTTTTCCAACTGCCAGCCTACATACTCTTCCTGAACAGTATGGCAAATTGATGGCAGTCCCAAACTTGCCCATTATTGATTTCTATCCTGCTGATTTTGAGGTGGACATGAATGGGAAGCGCTTTTCATGACAGGGTATTGCCAAACTACCTTTCATCGATGAAACCCGGCTCCTTGCAGACAGGGGCGTATGCAGGAATTTTTGTAAGTGGTGTCGAAATTTATAGAAGAACTAGAATGTTACTTTGATTATCATACTTTTAGACAAGAAATAACCTTAGTTTATTGGTTTTGTTGAGTCTTAAGTTAAAAATGATTTTGAATTCAATTCTACCTAATCACAATTTTTAACTACAAAGGCTCTCTCAAATATTTACAAAAGAAAAATGTGCTAGTTGAGATTTGAACCTTTGACCTCTTAGAGCAAAATCAAGCACAAAACCAACACACCAAGACACAATTTATGTCAAGTGGTGTCATTTTTTATTACTTATCCGTTTCCCTACAGTATTAATACATATATTTAGTAAAATTTTCCGACGAAGTGGTGTCGCATGACACCGCTTGAGGAAGCGTGCATCCGCCCCTGCTTACAGAGGTTGCAAAAGTTGAACATACCTTGACGGAGGAAGAAGCAAGAAGAAATAGCATGATGAATAATATGCTATTTGTATCATTATCTCCCTACATTTTTTCTCTTGATGATCATTGTAAGCAGCTTACAGACCATGAACGTGTTGAGGAACAATTCCATAGTAGCATTTGCTTTAAGAAAGTCTAATATACCTTTTAGTTAATATTATTGGCATTGTTAAGCAACTAATTATCGTACACTTAGGCTCATTTCAATTCTGCTCATTTGTTTTGGCTAGTGTATGTTAAAAAAAAAATCGTTCGAATATAGAGCTTGCCTTGAGTGATACAGGTTCATTTGAACCGATAACTTTCAATATAGAGTATAGAACATATATAAAAATCTGATAAAATCTCAACAAATATAAGATTTGAATCCATAATTTTAACAGTACAATGAGTTCACGCTAAATTTTAAAAGTCGAACCCATTAAATTGAAATCCTGGATTCGCCGTAAAATTGCACGGGGCGCCCTATTTGGTCGCCCTATTCTTCTTATACTTCTTCTTTTTCTTCTTCGGGAGATAGTGATTTTATATAGTGTTTCTGTACATATTTTAATGCAGTTTATGATGTTTTATAGTGGTGAGTTGTTGTGACGCTTTATTTTTTTTACTATTGCTTAGGGTTTCATCTTCTTCTTTTTTAATTGCAAAATGAGTTCGTTAGATTTATTGGTGATTGGGGTTTGTTCTTGATGCTATTTGTCGGTTATGTTTCAAATTTGAGCTCATTTGGAGTAGATTTGGGTATTAAATCATATATTGGATTGTTAAAATTCGAAGAACAAATTTCTGTTTCTGGGCAATTTGCACTTCAGACCTATTTGGCCTTAAGTGCATCTAAAGTGCAATTTTTTACTTCAGAATTATTGGTCTTAAGTGTAGGAAAACGTTTGTTACATTTCAGACCTTTTGGCCTTAAGTGCATATGAAGTGTAATTTTTCACTTCAGACTTATTGGCCTTAAGTGCATGAAACCATTGGTTGCACTGAAAACCTATTTGGCCTTAAGTGCATTTGAAGTGCAATTTTTCACTTCAGACTAATTGGCCTTAAGCGTAAGAAAATGTTTGTTGCACTTCAGACCTTTTGGCCTTAAGTGCATTTGAATTTTACTTCAAACCTATTTGGCCTTAAGTGCATTTGAAGTGTAATTTTTTCACTTCAGACTAAATTTTTTTAAAATTGTAAAGTGGGTAGGCTTGCAATTTATTTATTTTTTTGCAAAGTAGGTATAAGTTCAATTGTGGCCCAAAATAGGGTATAGATGCAAAAACCCTGGATTCACCTCTGGATAAAAGGCCATGGGGAGATATCGAATGGATCTCTGATCGGAAAATCGTATCCAAGTTGGGGTTTGGGATTCGCTCGCCCTAGTACACCAACCAAAGATTTACTGTTTTTCACCTTTCCGTCAAACCAAAACGAGAGCCAATTGGGTCACTATAGCCCTCTCCATGAGTATGAGGCCGGCTTGGTTGGGAGTATAGTGGAGATGCACCCAGTGGCGGATCCAGCTTATTACATGTGGGTTCCCGTGAACCAAGTAGCTTTTGCACATATTATGTATATGTATTAAAAAATTTACTAAACATCCATAAATATTTGATTGTGAACTCAATTATTTATTGTATATTTACTTAAGGTCGCTATAGGAACCCATAAACTTTATCCTGGATCCGCTTCGAATGCACCTAAGACCATCTTCAACCCAACACCAATTTTGACACCAAACACCATTTAGTGTAAATTTTGGTATTTTTTTACTCCAACCCAACACTATTTCTTACACCATTTTGGTGTGTGAATAGTGTTACACCAAATTTGGTGTAACACTATTCATCAACACCGTTACTATTCACTATTATTTTAATATTATCTTTTATTATATAAGTCTTTTAATTTAACATATTATAATTTTGTAATTAATTATAGTTTTTATGTAATATCTTTATAATATTAATTTTATATTTTAATTTTGCTGTATAATTTTTGTAAATTAATTTTCGTATATTTTATTTTTATATAAAATTGTAAGTTAATTTTATTATAAGTTATAATTGTATAAAAATTATAACAACCGTTGTATAGATTTCATCTTAATCTCAACCGTCGGCTGGATTTGCAATCTCGTTTTGCAATTATTGTAGGGCCGTCACGTTTTTTGAGGTAAGAAGTGCTCCATGATATATTAACTACATGTATTATACTGCACAACATGATAATTGAGGACGAGCGTGATCTTAATGCATTAATTCAAGATGTTTGGGAAGGTTCAACTCCAACAGTAGAAATGGTAGTAGATGAAAATTATCGATTTGAACAACTTTTACCTCGCACAAAAAAATTAAGGACAAAAATGCTCATTTTGCTCTTCGTAATGCATTAATAGACCATTTGGGAGCAACATACTAATCTTATAAGATGAATATTTATGTAAAAATTAAACTAAATTTTATCATAATGTAATATTTATTTAATTATATCTTATCAATGATTTCATTTCTATTTGAATTATACATTAATATGTATAATGTATAATATTTGCTTATAATTTATATTATTTAAAAATTAAAGGTATAAAATAATTTTATATTAAATGGTTATATAAGAAAGAAATATGAATTATACAGGATAAATATGTAAAAAGGAAAAAAGAAAGGATTTGTTTTATAAAGAAAATAGTATAATATAAAAGGGAGAAAAGAATATAAAAGAAATATTCTTTTTTGGTGTAAAAAATAATGTAATGGGTTGGAGTTACTTTGCACCAGTTTGGTGTATAAAAATGGTGCAAGGGTAAAGTGTGTTTACTATTAAAAATAGTAAAGTTTGTTTACTATTACGAGGTCTAGTTCTATCATTTTAGTGTTCTTAATCCGTCTATTATTTCACACCCACATTCTTATTCGGCAACCTATTCCACATATATAATACATAGATTCTTGGATAACTTACGCTGGTATCATTTACAGCAAAAAGAAACATAGCAACCACTCACTACATAATAATAATAATAATAATGCCAGATTTTACAGTAAAAATAGCACGAGCTAATCAATTTTTGGACTGGTCATTCAAAAATAGTCAGCATTTGCAAAGTCATTGAAAAGTAGCCACTATTTTGCTGCTACACGGAAAGTTTCAATATAATATACCGGAGATTGGACCACTTGTGTATGAACTTCCAGCATATTATACTGGACCGGTATATTATATTGGAACTCTAGTATAATATACTGGAGTTCCAACATATTATACTGGAATTACAGTATATTATACTGGAGTATTTTCCGGATTTTGAACAGTATTTTCATTCAGATTTATCTTTACATAAAAAGTGACTAAATTTCGATTACTTTTGAAACTGTGGCTATTTTTAAATGTCCACTTGTAAATCTGGCTATTTTTGAATTTCACTCGATTTTACGCGGAGATTAAACCTCCTCGCTACACCAACCTAACGACCCCCGTGGTATTAGCTTTAGTCACCACTTGTCTCATGTCAAATATTGAGCCTACATAATGACTGCACTTTAGCTATATTTTGAAAATAACATTTTTGCCAATTGATTGACATTTCCAATCAAGCCTTGAGCTACGTAACTTTAATGCCTGGCTAGCTACTCCTTGAAAATTACTTCTTCGCCGTCTGAGCATTCAACACACCTAGCAAAAGACTGACTATACTAGTGACTAGTGAGAGTCCAACCTAACTGAGTTTTCATTAATGCATACTGCCTGAACGTGCAATATTCAGCTTGTGCAAATGGGCAAACAACATTTAAAGAGAATCATGGAGCAAGCTAAGGACTTCAAATGGCAAGTTTATCCACTCCATATGACAAGTTTATGGCAAGAAGATGAGCATCAGAATTGCATCTGCCCATGCACAAGTGACTGTTGCAAAGGATGGAAGCATAATGAATGAATTGACCAAAAAACTAAGCCACCAGAATACAGCAAAATTTAGTTTTCCAAGGAAAAACTTCAGGACACAAAAAGGCCAGTTTGGTAAAGTTTCACCTTAGCGGCAGAGACAAATCACAAATGCAGTTACTCCTAGTAAAACTAGTTGTTGACAAAACCTGTAACTTGTCCAGCAAGCTTAAGTTCTGATGTGCTTGAAGAAGATCCAAACTGCATTACTGTATCTATTTTACAGTCATCGCTTAGGCGGAGGGAACACGCCCCCATCCCTTCCCCTATCTACCTTCAAAAGTTATATGCTATATCAATAAGGAGTACAAGTAACAAAAAATAGGAAAATCTTGATAATGCCACTAAATGACAGCCTAGTCATGCTGCGAAACTTGAACCTCTTCCTCCTAGTAAACTGTTTTTCTTCTTCCACCGGATAAATATAGATAATTCTTCAGACATGACCAACTTCAACTCAGTTCTGTACTATTTAAAGGACTCCTATCTGACAAGTCTTTTAGCATCACTATACAATCATTAGAAGCTATACAAATGCATAGGCAGTGCCTGGTAATTGGTAACTACTTTTCCTCTCCCTCATCCTCTTCAGCTATTCTACGATATAAAAAGGGGTTAGAGGTAAACTGGTGCAAGTCAATAATGAAACAGCAGACAACAATGTGGGGAATGAGGAAAATCTTGATTCTGAACTGCTATCAACTACCGGATGCACACTGCGCAGATACAACTACTCAGTTCTTGCACGTTTTGACTGTGTTTGCTTCATCCAATCAAGACATTCTTCAGCAGTACCAGAAGGATGTGCGAGCTGCCACTCCAGCAATTTTTGTTGCTGCAGAGGAAAATTAAACGATGAGTAAATACTTCAAACCAATTAACTACTGGCTAAGAAGAAAATTGTTATTGGCATACCCATTCTCTAACAACTGGCCCTCCACTTTTAATCTGCAAAATGTTCATAATTTCCTTTCCATTAACCAAAGGTTTCAATTCCCAAACCTTCTCCAGACCTGGAAATTAAGGTAAGATCATAGCTTACAAATATATATGGGATCTGAATACAAAAGAATTTGCAACCGGCAGGATTGGGTACTTGGGTTATTTTTTATTTTTAGTGGCTGTGCAGCAGCCAGGTTCTGGGGCTAAACAGAGCAAGGAGGCAGGAGCAATTATAGTGAAAAATAATAAAATATAAAAGGGAGACAATCATTTTGCAGGGACATCCTCCCTCTACCTAGCGTTGCTACTGTAACCTCACATATCTTAAATTAAGTGCTCAATATCTATGTGACATGATTGATTCATCCCATTCCACATAGCAAGGGGAACACAAAAATAGAAGCACAGAGGACAAATGATGATACCTAGCGCTCCCACTGCATTCTCTACTGACTTGAATAATCCACTTCTCTTCTCCAGTTCAAAGTTCTCATTTGAGAAGCTTGTAGAGGACACAATGTCAACGGGATGTAATTGCATAGATAGAAGAAGAGCAACGCGCCAGAATTCTTTAATTTCTCTAAGTAGCAGTCCTGTTTGTGAAGAAAAGTTAACCATCAATTTGCAAGATAACACTAAGAAGTAGAGAACTTGTCTTGCAGAAGATTATTACCAGCCAATATTCTAAGCCTCGAAGCAATTGGAACCTCAATGGTATCTTTTTTCCATTCAACTTCTAAAACTTTGATATCTTCTTTAGAAACAAGTGATGGAATTAAGGTGACAAACTTCTTGGTTGCAGTATGCAAGCTTATGACCTGCAAATGAATATTCAAGGCTCAATAACAAATAGTGATAAGAAAAAATAGGATTAAGATTCAAGGCTCAATAACAAATGCATGAAACATATAGTAGTCACAAAAAGAATCACTCACTGTTTCCGCATCACTGGCCTTCAACTTGAGAGAATTGCGAAAAATATAGTTGACAACTGGAATCTGATAAGTGTCAGCCAAAGTAAGTCTTTATACACAATAAACCCCAAATCCTCACGGAGCTCATGTGCAGATAATATCATATTAACAGTAACTACATAAAAATGAGCCTCTTTAGGCAGTTCTTTTCTTCTGCTTAGAAACCAAATGTCGACCAACTCCAATCATAAGCAAGACACATCCATGGAATCATAAGCAAATTTGTTCAATCCACATAAGAGATGCAGAATGGAATCGACCAATGCAAACATAACAGATCGCATGGACTCTTTGATGGTCCAGAGCTCTACCTTTTTGGCTTTGTTATCTCTATAAATGGTCTCTCTGAATGGCAGAAATAAAGCAGCATACAGGCAAAGTCTCCTTTGATCATCCTAAGATAAAAATGGATATGAAAGGGTTAGTTTTAAATTAGCGTATACACAGAAGCATTTGACATCTAACACAGCAAGTTTATGGCAAGTCTTCTTTTTTTTTTTTGGATAATTTGGATCATCACTCCACACAATGAGGATTGTTATCAATAATATGTGATCGCCAATCATCATAGAAAAATCAGAAATGAGAAGAACCGATAACTGTCAAAAACATGAGATGAGAAGTTTAAGAAAGACCCCTATACTCCATATATTATGTATAAAACATTGAGCACCTGTTTTATGCATTAGAACCTTGATTCGGATAAACTCAAAAGGATTTTCATATTCATCCCTCTGTTGAAATCTCAAATACAGAGAAGATAAGGTAAATCACGATGAAGAAACAACACTCACAGAAAATGAGGACCATCCAATTAAGTTTAAAAGCCCACAAGCTAAATCCAAGCAAGCAACACACAGCCTGTAAGTCATAAATGATTAACATGTTAGGGATAAAAACCCTTAAAGAGCAAATAATTAGAAAAATTACGTTATCAAAAACCTAGTAAACAGAGTAAACAATAAAATGAACCTAAATATACCTAATGAAACCCCTAAACAACCCAACTCTAAGGTATATGCAAGCTAGTTTTCACTTGGGCTTTTCTCTTTCGTTGGTCTTTTGCGGAGGGTGTCAGAGAGCCCAATAAAACTTGAAAAAAACATAGCCCTTGATAATGTGCGCAAGAGAATAGGAGGAACACCACATCAGGGACATATATGCGCAAATTGCAGAAAGTGGAAAGAAATAAGAAAAGAAGCCACTAAGAGAAGAAAACTTCAGAAGTATATGGAAGATCCAGAATCCATTATTGATGTCCTAGGATCTTTGTAGTACAGTAGGGATTTAAGATCTTCCTATACCATCTTCTGTAAATTTGAAAGACTGCACCTCCTTGGTGCAGTTGATATATATACAAAATTGTTACCTTCTCAAAAAAAAAAAAAAAAAAAAAAAAAAAAAAAAAAAAAAAAAAAAAAGAAGAAAACTTCAGTTCTAGGATTTTGGTAAAGCCTCTCTGACCACGATGCCTCGATAAATTTTCGGAATCGGAGTTCTTGCATTCACTAAATGTATGACCGGTTGAAAATAGCACTCAGGCTATTATCAGGGTAAATGAAGGAATCTGACTAAGATGCGAGGTCTGTTTCGAAAAAGTAAGATGTTACCAGTATCAGTTGTAATGGAAGATGAATAGCCTGTTCAACTAGGAACTATGGTCAAGGGATCCGCCAGCTCCTTGATTGGAGCAACAAGTAGGGAGAAAAGAGGAGAACTACAGTAAGTTAGAGTGCATAAAGATAATAAATTCAACAGACAAAAAGATGCAGGAACAGCATACTGTCTGACTCAAATCTTTAACGAAGGAGGAGAGATAAGCGGGAAACAGAAAGATCCTCAAGGAAATGAAAAATATCCTACCAGAGGTCATGGACAACAGGGGCAGCGGGCTGTTCATATGAAATATGAACTGAAAAGGTGATAAAAAACATCTAGAAAAAGAATATGGCTGACAACAATGTCGACTACACTTTAATTCCAAAGAACAATATACAGGATTGACTCGTTAGCAAGTGTAAAATCAGCAAAGTTTTATAACTGTGAGAAGGCACGGGAGAAAATATGATATATATTGATATATTGTGTGTGATGCAATACAAGAGGTGCTATTTATAGCTACTCTATACAAAGGGGATACTACTCCTATTCCAATGTGGGACAATTACATAGCTATCTCTAACAATAACAAAATAGACCACAAGATGACAATGACACTCATTTAATTCTCCACAAGAGCTAATCATATGCCAATGGAATTCATTTACAGTATCCCCCTAGCTAAATTCTGAGCATGACCACATTTATCATCAAGCTGTTTACTTCTAAGATACTTCAATATAGGTTTGGAAGATGAAACAACTAATATATAGATTTCACTGAAAAAACAGAGATCCAACCAAAGTGACAGCTGGCTTGGTTCAAGCTAAGTTGCTCGGACATGGGTACGGGTGTCCAGCACGGGTACGGATCTAGAGGCCGGATCCTTCGAGATGTAAATTCTAAGATTCGGGGATACGGATCCTAGTACGGATACGGGTGCGGGAATCCGGCTAAAAATAATTCAAAAAAATTAAAATATAAAACATGTCTCTGAATTATGAGAAATTATGTGAAATACTCAAGTATAGATGGTAAAGTGTGGATTTCCATTTTATTCTCAAGTTGTAGATAAGTAAATGATTGATTTCTTAGATAACATATGCTATTTTCTTCAACTTTACCCTAATTATTAGGATTCTGATTTGGGAACCAAATTGTATCTCGTCTCGAATTTTCCGTCCGGCGTGGTCAAAGTACCCGAAATTGTTTATCCCATACCCACACCCATACTAGTGTTGTGTCGACACGGGAACAGCACTTAAACTGCCATGTCGGAGCAACTTAGGGTTCAAGAACGGTCATTCGGTTCTTCTACATGAACATGAATAATAAGCTGTCTCCAACAAAACAAAAATGAAAATGTCACAGAGATGACACTGCTAAAAGCAAATTGGAAATGATCTAGCTCACCATCTACTGGATTTAGACCAGAGAAACCATCACGCAGGGGAATGTTCAGAACATCTTTCTGTTGGTTCTCCTCAAACATCTAGTTCCAAGCAATTGAAATTCATATTTCCATCACCAAAAGCATACAAGATCATGTCTTACTTCTAATATCACCCTTCTCCCTGGACAATAACATCCAGTTTAGGGAATGTTCATTTACCCTATCCCTAGTACCAGACAGTCGGGTTCTATATGTCTGTCGCTAAAGCAAACAAGATCATCCCCTTACATGTGTTACCGACCTTGTCCCTAGCAGTACGTCCAGTATAGGGAGCAGTGAATGAATTAGGCTGTTGACATCACTTTCTGAGCTTGTTGGGTAATCATTATCCTATGTAAGTATGCTTTAAATAGGTCTGGATGAAGTATACAGAAATGTTGTTCACTAGCTGCGTTTTGTCCACAAGAATTTTGGAATACAATAGAATCTACCAAACACATTTTTTTCTATAAGGAGCATCTAACAAGCACACAGCCTATGGATTCTCGAAAATAAAGAATATTTGGAAGACGGTAAACACTACCTATCATATTCCTCAGGAATTGAAGGTTCAAAATCAGTAGGAATACTAAATACAGCCCAAAATAATTTCAAGTCAGCAATATAAGTCATTGCTTTGACTGGTTGTTTGCCAGATATCATAAGATCAATCTGCAAAATAAAACAAAGTGAAATGAAAATTAGAAAAGGACAGCAACCTTTTGCAATGTGCATTAAAGAATTCCTTCTAATAGAGGACCATCTAGGGGTCAAAATTAATTCCAATCATGTAAACCTTCACTCAGAAATAAGATACACATACTTCATGTCCTATCCGTTCTCTGCTAATTTTATCAGCAATAGCAGCCCTCACATCCTCATCAGCAGCTGCCTTCTTTAGTTCTTCATCTAACATAAACCCAAACCTTGCACCTAAAATCACCAAATCATATCGAGACATGATGACATCCGACGAACAGCACAACAAAGTTCAACCAACAAGGAAAAATGCCACTTTGAGAGAGGATTGCGAAAATAGATGTCCAACCAGCTTTATTGAAACCTAAAGTGATAAAAGGAGATACTGGAAGAAAGAGGAAGAATTTCACACTACATATGACTTTAGCATGCTCAAAAGACATGCAGACCCATAGAATATGCAGCAAATAGAGCGGAGAAACTCCCCCCAATCACTAAGAATTGGAATCCTCCATTTCATTAACCAAACTTATCCATGTCAACATGGCTCTAACATATGATCATGATTTCAGTTTTGATAGCAAAGTTCTGGAATGGTTCAAAGAGGTTTTAACACCCACTCACCCCCTCCCCACCCGGGGGGCAGGGGGTTGGGGGTTAATTATATAATATTAAGTAGATGTGCTGTAAGATCTAGTTCAAGCATCTGCTTTAAGAATATTTGAGGCATTTTGTGAGGCAAATCAGCGCAATTGGGCAGATTTAGTGCATAGTTTTCCTACAACTTGCGCAAGTCCTTGGCTACGGAGATGAGTCCATTCGAGCTAATTTAGGCGAACAACCTTCGCAACCACTTAAAATAGCATAATAGAAGACAATGAGCAAATGCCCAGCTGCATGCCATTATGCCATGGACAGACAAGCAATGATTCAAGAGGCAAAAGATAGCTTGGAAAAGGCCCAAAAGAGGATGAAGAAGTATGTTGATCAAAACGAACGCCCATTGGAATTCAAAGTGGGCGACATGGTGCTATTGAAACTTATTCCGCAGATATGGAAGAAAATTGACAGAAGGGTAAGACATAGGACACTAGTTTCAAAATATGATGGTCCCTTCGAAGTTGTTGAGAAGGTTGATGAGGTCGCCTACCGACTAAAATTGCCGGAAATAATGAAAATCCATTTGACTTTCCATATGAGCTTCTTGAAGCCTTACATTAATGATGCCAAAGATCCGGGTCAACATAAAATTAAGAGAGCTCCTCATGTGGTGTGCACACAGTTTGAGGACGAGATTAAGAAGATCTTTGATCACCGGGTTCTTGGGGTACATTAGAAAAGCAGGTGGACAGACTTCTTGATTCAATGGAAAGGGAAGCCCCGAGACAGATGCAATGTGGTAGAAAGGTGCTTCTTTGTGGCAGTATGAAAAACAAGTGGAGGACTACTTGAAGACAGCCTCGACGAGAATGTCAAATTCAACTAGCGGGGGTGGTCTATTAGCCCCTATAGTTGGTACATGACAAATGCCGAATAGAACCAATGTCAAGGGTTTGTATATTTCCCCTTGACGTGGGTTTGTGAGGATGTGGGAAGCAATGTACGGAGCTGGTAGTGTGTCTAAGTGAGTGCATGAGACTTAGGCAAGTCAGCTTGTCAAGGTGGCAGTCTTAACTTTGGGCATCGACTACGGCAAAGACAAAGCAGGCAGGCAAATGACACTTTTGTTGTTTTATGATGCTGACAAAGCACGTCTTACTTGAGACAAATGTTAACATTGGTTCCAAGTGGTGTCAGGTCATCCAATTGGTGAGGTGAAGAATATTGAGGTCCTAGCACAAGTGTTGAATTGAAAGGTTGGGTCTCTTCCTACCACTTATATGGGTTTAACGATAGGAGCGCCTAATAAGAATCCGATGATAGGGAGGATAGAAAAGAGGTTCGCAAGTTGGAGGTATTTATCTAAAGGGGGAAAGAAAGTGTGAATTAAGAATATCCTATTGAGCATTCCCACTTATCTCATGTCCTTGTTAAGCGCTCCAACCAGCGTTAAAGGATTTTCTATAGGAAGGATTTTCTATAGGATGTATCAAGTGGAGAGAGGAAGTTCACATAGTAAAATGGGGGACGCTCACCACACCAAAGTGTTGGGGTGAAATTGAAATTAAAGATCTAAGAGCTTTTAACAAGGCATTACTGAGAAAATGGTAATGGAGATTTGTGCTAAATGAGAAGTATAGGGTTCTGGAAGGGGATCGAGGACTAAGAATATTTCACTTCCACATATGGGTACGACTATGGAGGAATTTTGTAAAAGGGTGGTAAGAGTTCTTTTTTTAAAAGGTAAAGGGATGGTAAGAGACTAAAAGTTTAATGGGAATACTTCATTTGAGGTAGGTGATGGGAACAGGGTGAGTTTTTGGGGACATAGGTTGTGAGGGAACATTTTGAGAATCACATTTCCAAAAAAATACAGAATTTCCTGCAAAAATGAGATACCAGTCCAACGGTTGTGGAATCTACAAGGGGGAAAAGTGGTTTGTTATTTGAGGTTTAGGAGGAACTTGAAAGACAGGGAGGTTGAAGAATTTCAAAATTTGATCGACAGCCAAGATGTATGAAGATGGAGGTTAGGGGAAACAAGCATCTTTTCTGCCAAGTCATATCATGAGAAGCTCCTAATTAGGGAGGAGCCAGCTTTTCCCCACATCTCAGTATGAACTCTTAAGGTTCCCAAAACTGTGTATTTTTCCACTTGGCTAGCTGCGCGGAAGGGATCTTGACTGTAGAAAACTTGAGGAAGGGGAATATTGGTTGTGTCTGTTGGTACTTCATGTGTAAAGGCTTAGGAGAAGATTTAAATCACCTCCTTTTACACTATCGGGTGGTTTGGACTTGAGTAGGTAATGTCAGGCAGTGAACAAAATAATGCTTAGCTAGACGTTTAGAAGACAAAAGCGAATACGCATGGCATGGAATATTGCTCCTCTAGTACTTAATGTGGACTTTATGGATAGAGGAATAAGAGAGCCTTTGATGGAGTAGAGAAAGATTTTTCATACTTAAAGAATAGCGCAGTTCCTATATGTATAGATAATTTGGTGTCTTTCATAGAAAATCATATTTTTTTTAAGGTTTTTCTATCTTGTGGTATACTTTTTGTATATGGTCATGTCTTTGCCCTTCTTTTAATAAAATTTATTTCTCTATCGAAAAAAGATATATTGGTGTAGGCTCTGTGCTTATTGTACACTTGTATAACATGTCGTAAATATACCCCTGTCCTATAGTCCTAGCCTGCCTCAACACAATGCAATTTTCTCACTTCGAGAAATTATATATCTTATGCTTTACTTCTATAAGTAATCTTCTAGGGAACGGATATAATTGCCTAGAAAAAAAACTAATCCTGCTTTAAATTTGAAAAATATTCAGTTTGCTTAAGACTTCGAAGAAACATTCACATGCTGCCAATCATCCAATATCATAATGTCAATAGTAATAGTCGACATCTAATGCATTACCAAAACGAACAGCTCGAAGGACTCTTAGGGGATCATCCAAAAAGGTCTGCTTTGGAGGTAGTGGGGTGACAATTTTTCCCGACTTCAGATCTGCAATGCCTGAAAAACACGAAATTAATTAATTAGTTAGACACATGCAATAACCTATCTTTAAAGCTACACGTAACTGAATCTGGTCAAGAGAAACAGAGCTCGTGCATACCTCTTTCTGTAAAATCTTCGACTGACTTGGTGTTTATGTTGTAAAACAAGCTGCAAAAACATAACTTTTGAGAATCAGAAATTTGAGACAACATAACAAGAGTTTACTTATGAAGTGGCTATGGAGATTTTCTCTAGAGGATCAAGCTTTATGGAGGAAGGTTATCAGTGAAAAATATGGGGCAGATGGGAGGTGGGTTACAGCAGGAGCTTCTGGATCCTATGGTGTAAGTGTATGGAAGTCAATTAGAAATTTATGGCTAAGATATATCAACAATGTCAGTATCAAAGCCGGCAATGGTAATAAAACTTCTTTCTGGAATGATGATTGGATTGGAAATGAACCTCTTAAAAGAGGTTTTTCCAGATTTCTCCATACCCCACTTGTGGGATTATACTGGTATGTTGTTCACTTTAGTGCAGCAACCCCAAGCTACCGTGGCTGAGGTATGGAATATGCAGAGGTGGAATGTTACTTTCAGAAGGTTCCTCAATGACTGGGAGGTTACCAGAGTGATTGAATTCTACAAATTGTTGGATGGTTTTAAGGGCATCACAGAAGAGGGCAGACTTATATGGGAAAGAAACAACGGAGGAGTACATACTGTAAAGTAAGCATATGAAATCTTCAATAGCTCTGGTCACATGAACAATGGGACATGGCACTGGAAGGTGACAATCCCTTTTAAAGTGGCTTGCTTTTGTTGGCTTGTCGTCAAAGAGGTTGTCCTAACTCATGACTGTTTAATGAGCAGAGGAATGCCTATGTTTTCCAAATGTTTCTTATGTGGAAAAAAGATTGAAACAGTCACCTCTTTTTACATTGCAAAGTAACTAGCAGGCTGTGGTAACTATTCATGAGTAGGAAAGGTGTGAAATGGGCAAAACCTAGGACAACTGCAGAAATGTTAGCTTGCTGGAATGACCCAAGTATTCTACTGAGGCAAAAGCAATGGTGGAGGTTGATCCCAGCATGTATTTGGTGGTCAATATAGTTGGAGAGAAATTCAAGGTGCTTTGAAGATAGAGCTAACATTGAACAGAAGATTAAGACGAATTGTATATTTTTGTTTCACTTTTGGTGTAAAGAAGCTTAGTAGAGGATGTAGAGTGTATAGTGGTTATTATTGGGTCCTTGTAACTACCGCAAGTCTGGGTTTTTGTTTTGCACTTTTTTGGGGGTCTTGTAACTATCTTTTACCCTTGGCATAATCTTTATACTAAGGGTTTAGTCTACTTAATTTATAAAAATTGTTACCTTCTCAAAAAAAACATAATTTCTAGTGAATAATTAGCTGATTAAACAAGGCAACTCATTTTTATTATGTGGAAACAAAAAGCTAACTTAAAACATAGTTGGACACATACATTAATGCATACAAAGGCAAGATTCTCAGAAAACAAAATGAAATGATATGAAAACATCCTCCTGTCCCAAGAGAAAATAAACAAATCAAAAAGATGCAAAGAAACCAAATAAATATACAAACTTAGAAGAAGATGAAAAAGAAACTGAGAAGCTTTCCCTGGAGTTTGTGAGCCCAAGATGCTTTTTTTTTCCTCATTTACTCTTTTGGGTTGTTTGGGCTGGGGGTGAAGGGAAAATAGATCAACTAAACCAAGTTGCTGCCTACAAGTGTAAAGGTGTGGCAAATATTTAAAAAGGGTACTGAAAGGTAAAGATATAAGAAAGTACCTATTAATGGTCAAATCCCTGCGATCTGCATCCTCTTTTGCAGTGCCAAATTTCTAAGAAACAGCAGATGAGAAAGACAATCTTTTAATGAGGAAACTAGCATCCATGGCACCCGAACATCCGTACATGACAGCTAAAATTTTGACATTTAATTATTTGACGTAACTGCATTGTTATCAAAGGCGAAAAGCGCAAAAAAAACTCTAAGGTCTGTTGGGGCTTTATGCGCAAAGCGCAAATAAAGCATGGGCTTTAATGAAGAAAGACGCAAATGGAGAAAAACTACATATATGTATGTATAGTCCAAGATTAATATCTGTAAGCATAAATACCAAATATACAGACAAAAAAATTAAAGATTACGATAAAGTGAAATATCAATTATTTGGTGTTGCCTCTTCAGGATTACACTCATTGGCAAGAAAAAGTATGTCTTAGAGCCTTGATGACAACACTAAAGCGCCCGCTAAGTGAGGCGAAGCGCTCAACATATTTTGAGTCTCGCTTTAGGGCTTAAGCGCGCTTTAAGCCTTTGATAACACTGCGTAACTGTTAGGATGTCAGCATTAAATAATGGAAAGGAGATTAATCACAACAGACATCAATGGTTAAATATAATGAAGGCTTCCTATTATTGCAACGATGGTTGGTTAGGTTCATAAAAGAAGGTCATACAAAAGAATAAGTTAAAAGAAACATAAATAAGTTCAGATATTAAACTGAACAATTCTAACGTATTATATAGGAAAATTTCATTAATCTTGAGCAAGCAGCGGACAGGAACTGGTAACATGTTGATTCAGCATTCTCATTCACTAAATGACCATCCCATTGATCCCGCTTAGCAACCTCATTTTCTTTAAACACTAGGTCATTATTAATTTAAAGGATGACACTAAGCCTTGTACTCTCTTATTTGAGGCCCTTGATACTGGATGCATTAAAGTACACTCATGCAAAGGCCTTCGCTTTACTTACTCCTTCACTTACTCCCTTTTGTTATCTTTCATATCTAGGTTAGGTAGAATCTACTAAGCCTTTCACCCCTCGCATTTACAATAAAATAAAAAAGAAAACTAATTTAAACACCAAAGAGAAGATACACATTTTATTACCAATCCAACAATTACATACCATTGTTGGAATACGACTGTTCTCACTGTAGTCTTCTGCTCTTAAGTTGACAAAATCAATCCATACGTCATAAAGGCGCATCCTTGCTGTTTCCAAGTGCTTTGACTGTTCGGGATTGCTATAAAGATTATAAAATAGTATTTAATTAGTGAAAAATTGCTCTACAAGCCAACAACACTGAGAAAGTTACGTGCCACATCAAGATAAGTTAATAGTAGTAAGAACAAATCATAGATTACTCTTAGTAGGATAAAAGATCCTAGAACACTTATAGCACAGAAGATTAGAATCATCTTCCTTTTTGGCACAAAAACTAAAAACTTGCTTCTTTTTTAAAATATGTAGGAAAAACAAAAATTATTACCCCTCCCAAACTTCACTCAGAGGGCGCAGACCTGCAAAAAGAGCTTTACTTTAATCTATTTCCCAGATAATTTTTAGCTGGATCTTTTTTTTTTGGTAACTATAAACTTTATTTACCAAAAGCATATTTACAGCTCAAGGAAAAAAACAAAATACCACTTGTCGACTGGGCTAGACATAGTCCCAACCTTCAGTGACTTGCCAACTAGCTACCTAACTTCCATACATTTCTGTACTAGCTATTCTATGTAGCCTCATGGGTAGAAATTTAGACTGTGCAGCTTCTTCATCAGTCGCGGCTTCGTGTTTCCTCTATAGATTATCTCTTGTATAATCAATCTAACTATCTCCCCGCTGATCTTTGTCTGTGTTGAAATACTCTGAGATTCCTTTCATGCCATAGTTGATATACACTGCCAGCAATAGCCATCTTGTAAATTTCAGCAGATGCACTCTTTCCATTATGCTGTGATATAGCCCATTGTACTTCTGCAGCCCATTCCATAGGCTGCCTATATAGACCTTGCCACTATAACAGTTTTTGCCACACTTCAGTAGATAGCGTACATACATAGAACAAATGGGATATACTTTCCTCAGCCGCTCCACACATAGGACATGTTGCATCGTGTATCACTCCCCATCTCTTTAGTTTGTCCCTTGTATATAATCTACCATGAGCCATGAGCCATGAGCCATGAGCCATGAGCCATGAGCCATGAGCCATGAGCCATGAGCAGAAGTATGAAGTTCCATTTAGGGGCACTCTGATTGTTGCAAGTCAGTCTTCTCCAAGCCACCTTTGGCACATTACCCCTCAGCTTGCAGTAGATGCTGTTGATTGAGAATTGATCCATGCTAATCATCTCATCCATACTCATTCCATCCTGTGTGACATATTTGCGTGCTTTCAAGATTTTCTGCATTATCCAAGATGCTTGATTGCATTTGGCCTCCCAGATATTTTAGCCGGATCTTTATTACAAGACTCTTTCACTGAACATAAAGGAGGACTACAAAAAGCAACCAGCTGCACTAGAGTAATATCTATCAACTTATTTTCAAGTCAAGGTTTAATTAATTGATACCTTATCAAGTTCAACCACTTTTTCCTCCCTGACAAAACTTGGCAACCATTCTCAATAACACAATGCATGTCCAACACTTTTTCTTGGGAGAACGGTAAGAAGAATGCATGACCTCACTACAACACTATTTTTTAATATCAGTGGTGCTCGGGCCACTTTGTGTGTACCTCGACTAGTCCACCGGGTATCTACATCTCCACCGGTGCAGGTACCAAATAACTCTGCCCACCAAGGGTTAGGCAATATGGGAAGAAATCGCCTAGTGTTTTGTATCTCTAATAGTGTTTGAACCCTCACTATAATACTATTCTTCCAAACTTAAAAATCGTATAGTGCATATTAAATAATTAGGCCTACATTAAATGAGGGACAACACAACTTCACTCCCTATTTCAAAGAAACAAATATTTAACTAGTACTCCCTCCGTTTCAATTTATGTAAACCTATTTAATGGGCACAGAGTTTAAGAAAAAAAAAAGACTTTTGAACTGTGATGTAAAATAAAACACATATATTTTATGTTCCTATAAATCATTGCATAAAGGTAAATTGCTTCCAAATATGTAAAGAGGCCATTTTTTAGCATGGACTAAACAGGAAATAGTTTCACATAAATTGAAACAGAGGGAGTATGCTAGTTCATGGTCCTGCCATCTGCATGGACGTACGCAGGATTTTACACAAATGATGTCGATATTGAAATAGTAAACATACATAAATTGAAACAGAGGGAGTATGCTAGTTCATGGTCCTGTCATCTGCGTACGTCTGCATGGACGTACGCAGGATTTTACACAAATGATGTCGATATTGAAATAGTAAACATGTGAACAAATTATTTTAATAATATTGTATATTTAAAAATAATCCATATCATATTAATAAAACATAATACAAATATATTACTACAACTCGCCTCAACAAATTTACATTTTTTGAAATTTATAATAGCCTACTTTAGGTAACTTCGGTCGATGGAAGGCACAAAAAGCAGTACATGCTCAGTGGTTTCGTTCTTACTCGCTTTAAAATAGGTCTGGGGTTCGGTCCCTTCCGAGCATAACTTTTTAAAAAATAACTGAAATCCGAAAAAAATATTAAATTACATGTCGAAATTGAGACTCGAACTCCCCACCTAAACTAGGGAGAAGAAGCGCTCAACCAATGAACTAAGACGTTCTATTTGTTCAGTATTTGCATTTTTTTTTATATAATAGCATTTGCATATTATTTATATGTGTATTTAGTAAAAATTATCCGACGCCGCTTGAGCTAAGGTAAATCCGCCCTAGTCATCTGTGCCAATAACTATTTTTTCTGACTCAGAGATCTTAAAGAGCATAGAATTAAAAATGTTACCTACATTAAATGAGAGACAACATAGCTTGACTCCCCATTTTAGCGAGACAATTTAACTAATATGCTTGTTCATGGTTTTGTCATCCGTGTCAATTACTATTCACCAGATTTATCCATCCTCTTTTAAAATTAAAAATAAACTAACTTTTACCCCTATTTTGGTTGCGTAACATCTGCCAAAACCATCCCTTCAGTGATCTGGTGCACTGTTTGGAAGGAAAGGATTGCAAAGTTTTTGAAAGCAAATTGGAACATGTAACTAGCATTAAATACAGATATATTTCTTTACTCTTTTTTTGTTGTAACATGGCTATTGCAAATGACATTGAGGTCATGGTTGACTTTTGAGCTCGTGACATAACATGTAATGTAGCTACCACTTGTAATTACTTCAAAGCACTTACTTGATGCTGATATCAATATACTACCTTTAACAATAAATAACGAACATCTGCCAAAATCAAGACTTTAACGGTACACGGTGGGAGTTTTCCACACAACAGATGTGGATTCAATTCTCATTGTCCCCATTCCCCTCCTCTTCCCCTTCTCTAATGTAATAGGGGGGAAAACTGCCCAAAAAATTGGGAAAAAACATCTCCTGAGGAAAGAATGCGGGAACATACCACTGGATTACACCAACTCCTTGGGTTTCCTGACCTGATGCTGATAAGTACTCATTCACTTTCTCACAGAATTCTCGTCCATACATGTTGTCTAGAGCAATATCAATATCATAGCATTCATCACCTAGCAGCTACAGTAATAGAACTCCGTATTAGCCAAAGAATAAAAAGGTACAGAAAGAAAATAACTTAGATTAAACAGCAAAACCTAATTTCTTGACTAATAAATACTTTGGCCGCTTTAATAATCACAAAAATACATGTAGCTAGAGGTGCGCGTTCGGGCAGTTCGGATTGGATATGAAAATTTTGGTTTGGATTTTCGGTTTTCGAATTGAAGAAATGACAATCCAAATCCAATCCAAATAAGCTCGGATCGGATCAGATTTTTTAAGTTCGGTTTTGGATTAATCGGTTTGGATATTTTGGATTTTCAGTTTTGAGCTTATAAGTTGAGATGTTTGATGTTTCTTCTTTTTACAAAAACGAATAACCAAATGAAGTACTCATCCTAAATTGCCTGAAAAGTTCTTCATTCTCACCACAATCATCCAAAAAAAGTATTTAAGTAATGGAATTATTACCAAGAAAATACAACAGAGGCATTAATACGGCCGATAAGAAGTAGCAATAGTAAAACCATGTCCAAATAGAAAATATTCTGATAGTTACTTAGTAATTTTTATTGAATATATGAGATAATATCTAATGAGTAGGGTATTGAACTTGTTATTATTGACATATGGATAATTGACTAAATATAAAGTATAAAAATTTTGGATTTTCGGATATCCAGAAATCCGAAGTAACAAATCCAATATCCAATTCGAAATCTAAAAAATTTAAAAATTAAATCCAAAATCCAATCTGTAATCCAAAAATCCCAACATAAAATCAAAAAATTCGGATTTCGGTTTGGATTTCGGGTTTGCCCAAACTATACCCACCCCTACATGTAGAAACTAGAAAGCAATTCAAAAAAAATTCCGAAGGAAAGAAAGATACTAGTAATTAATTGAAGCAAAAAATGAAGTAGTTTAGGTTGATAAGCTCAGGTGACATAGTTTCGAATGTTGCAAATAACAAGAAAGAAGAGAAAAAGAATCTAGAGATGCTTGTAACACACCCAATGACATGTATTTTTTCTATTTACTTGTGTAAAGCTTATATAATACTCGTCCGTTTCAATTTATGCGTAAGGAAGACGTTCAAGAGGGTTTGTTCTGATGGTTAGCAACCTCCACTTCCAACCAAGAGGTTGTGAGTTCGAGTCTACCCAAGAGCAAGGTGGGAAGTTCTTGGAGGGAAGGATGCTGAGGGTCTATTTGGAAACAGCCTCTCTACCTCAGGGTAGGGGTAAGGTCTGCGTACACACTACCCTCCCCAGACCCCACTAAGTGGGATTATACTGGGTTGTTGTTGTTGTTGAAGACGTTTAAATCTTGTGGTCTCAAAAGAGATGTGTATAATGTACCAAAAATCCTTGAATCTTGTGGTCTTAAATATGTCATTTGGATTGTTGGAGTTAAAGAGTTACTAAATATAAAAGGAAGCATTATTTTTTAAATAGATTAAAAAGGAAAGTAAGACATATAAATTGAAACGGAGGGAGTATATCAAGCTTCAAGATATTAGAAAAGGATACAAGGCTTATATAGTTGGGTAGAGAACAAAAGATGATGTCTTTAGCCGTAGCGTGCGAGACACATGCATACCTACATCTATAGAATATGTCCCTGGTGTGGACTGTGGGGAAAAAATTAAAATATTTAGATTGCATTCCATCAGAAAATGATAAGAATATATATGTGTTTTTCTTCTTTGGGTCAATAGTTTGGGGGGAAAAAAACTATTAATGTTAAATTAAACGCTCCATTATGAAAGTGTACAGAATAAATATGCATAAATCAATATCTAGGTTTAGTCTACCCTATTTAGTTACCATTTCTATACCCTTCAATTAACGTTTTATAGGGATTCTCTTAAAATGAACACTGTCAGTCCAGAAATCAAGTTTTTGTGCACAAGAATTATTTCCATGCTGGTTAACCTACTGCAAGCTTCCTCCTTCATTCTTGCCTGATACCAGCTATTTTTTTGCTCACATACACAGCATTCCATAGTTTAAATTGAAACTAAAAAAATTCAATTGATAAAAAGCTCATTTGGCTAAGAGTATACACTGTCACATCTGGATAAACAACATTATCCCCCCACCATTAAAATAAAGTCAGGAAAGATGATCTTGAATTTCGCGTAAATTAAACACCAGCTATACTTTACTAGTGGAAAATGCTCTCAGGCACATTCCCCAAAGCTGCTCTCTTTCCTACCTCCTAGGTCGGTAGAGCTGATCTTTCCGGTGTACTCTCTCACCGGAATCTTCCATTTCTTTCGCAAAACCCAGTGTTCACCCACTGTGAGCATTGTTTAAAATTCTTCTTGTTTTATTAAGTTCAACTTCTACTTGTTAATCCTACTATGAGGGAGAACAACATCATCTACTTTGCAGTGGGTTTCAAGTCATATGACATTGAGAGATGTTCATCAAATGCTGAAGAATGGTACGAGTGGATAGAACGAGGAAGGAATCTAATTAGAAGAACGACTTTCAGCAGGTAACTTAAAGGAAGCATCAAAGATGAAAGGAAATTATGTGAAAAGATGGAAAACCAAGGATCATTTTTCAGAAATATTCTTCGCGAGGAACTACAACAAGCACGGGCGTTATACAACCATCATTAGGGTCCAAGGCAGGGGGAGGTCTGTTATTATAGTGCCAAAAGTATCATTTAATGCAGGATGGTTAGACATTGCAACAAAAATCGAAAGGTTCATTAATAGCGGGGTATGGAGGAATGTTATTAATGCTCCCAAAATCATTGAAAAAGGTCTTCTTTACTCAAATACTGTCCGGAACCATAAGTGGGCAAGCAGAGAAATGAATGAAGCAGTGGCCCAACAAGAAGACGACACTATATGCATCTCTGGTGATTCAAACAATGAATTACTCGGCAGATGCTTGGTGGGGTTCATCCCAGAAAAAAGTTCTGAAATTGCAACTATGTCGGATGTTCGTATATGGGCATCAAACTCCTGGAAACAAGCACATGGAACCAGTATCTATGAGATGGACCAGAATCGATTTCTCTTCGAATTCCACTCGAAACAAATAGCTGACCATGTATTGGAAAGTGACTGGTATTGGAAGAAACTCAAAGTTAAGCTTCAATGGTGGAATCCGATGGTGGGGTCAATCTCAAGAAATAAGAAGATAAATCACGTATGGATTAGGCTACTAGGGCTTCCATTACATTTATGGTCCCAAAAACTGTTCAAAGAGGTGGGGGAGATTTGTGGTGGCTGGATTCAAACGGAAGAGGAGACGGAATCGAAAAATCACTTGAGATGGGCAAGAATTAAAGTTAGAGGAGATGGCTCTGCAGTCCCAAAAACAGTGAAGATAAAATTTGAAGGGGTAGTGTTCGAAATCACAATGTGGTGCGAAGCTCCGGTGAGATCGTATGATGAGGAGAACGGAGAAGAAGACTGTATGAACAAGCGGTTAAAAGAGGCATGCAGATGGCTGGGGGAGGGGCTCAAGGTTATAAAAGTATGATGGGGCATGTGGGTTGTTCAAATCAGGTACAATTAATATCTAAAAAGCCATGTGACTTGTCACGTGACTTTTTATTGGTTAATAACAAAGCTGCCCAGAAACTTAATAGAAAGGAATTGGGCCCAGATTTTTGGCCCAATTAATATCGGAGGAGAAGGCTTCAAAATGGCCCAATGTAAAGCCCAGACCAGATCCACTTAATGAAGAAATAAAAGCGATACACTCCAAACAGTCTGTGGGAAACTCAACTAATAACACACACAGCTGAACACAGAATCCTCGACAAGCCAGAAGCAGAGAAAAAAAAGAGAGGCCGATGGAGATAAAGAAAGTCTCCACGAAGATACTGTGGGGGATAATGCCATGTCTATTATTGAGGAACATGAAGAGAAGGGAGTAGACACGGAAGATTACAACAACATGCACATGCAACCAAAGGAATCAGACATGTTTGTGGATTGTGCAATTGAGGAAGTTGTGCCTCTGAATCATCAAAGCTTAGAGGACCTGAAATTTGAGGCATCCATCTGGGTGCACCAGAACATTATAAGATTAAGCAAAGAATTTGGGGTGGATTTTAATGGGTGTGAGCAAGAAGCACTGGAATTTTTCATGAAAATTGATAACAGAAGGCAAGCTAATAAAGGGAAAGAGGTTGCGCAGATGGTTCAGACTCCAAAGAAGAAGGAAATCAAAGAATTGAAAAGTTTAGAAATTGGGAGTAGTTTCAAGAGTAATGGAACTAAAAGCAGAGGGGCTACATTACCAATCATAGCCAATGTTAGTGAACATCATATCTTGGAATGTCAGGGGACTTATAAGAATTAGAAAGACGAGAGTGATTAAAAGTCTAATTCTCAGGTGGAAGACAAAGATTATTTGCTTCCAAGAATCAAAATTAGAAGAGGATATTAGGGAAAAAGCAAAAGAACTATGGGGTAATAGATGGATGAAATTTGCACAATTAAAGGCTAGTGGGACTAGAGGGTATTGTAGTAATGTGGGATAGGAAAATATGAAAGGGGGAAGTATGATGTGAGGGAGCACATACTATCACTTGCAAATTTTCAGGCAAGACTCAGGACTACTCATGGCACCTCTCAGTAGTGTATGCTCCTAATGACAGAAGAAAGAGGGAGGAAGTGTGGTGGGAGCTGGCACGTGCAAGAGGTTTTTTTGATGGACTATGGGTGGTATGTGAGGATTTCAACACTGTAAGGTTCCCATTAGAGAAGAAGAATTGCTCCAGATTCACAAGAGCTATGACTAAGTTTTCAAATATTACTGAAGACATGGAGCTGGTAGACATCCAATTATCAGGGCGTGAGTACACGTGGAGAAAAGGTGACAGACATGTAATAACAGCAAGACTGGATAGATTCTTGATCTCTACTGAATGGAATGAAGACTTTAGAAACATAAAACAATATGTGCTTCATAGAGTGACTTCATACCATTCCCCACTGATGCTTCAATATGGCAGTTGGGATCCAATCAAATCATATTTTAAGTTTGAGAACTAGTGGCTGCAGACAGAAAGATTCAAAGGCAAAGCGCAAGAATGGTGAAACTCTTTCACATGTGAAGGAAGGCCTGATTTCATTCTAGTGTCTAAACTTAAGGCACTGAAGGCAAAGCTTAAAGAATGGAGCAAAACTTTACAAGGCAATTTGGCATTGCAGAAAACAAATATTCTCGGCCAACTTGCAGAGCTGGAAGAGATACATGACCAAAGGAGCTTGACAAAGGAGGAAATATTCACAAAAACTTCATTGACCATGGAGTTTGAAGAGATTGCAAGCCATGAAGAAGTAGCATGGAGGTAGAGAACCACGGCCCTCTGGTTAAAAGAGGGAGACAGGAACACAAAATTCTTCCACAGAACAGCTAATGCTCACAGGAGATATAACAACATTGACCAGTTGATTGTGGAAAGGGAATCTATTCAGAATCCTGAAGATATCAAGAGGGAGGTGATCAGTTTCTACCAAAAGCTATACAAAGAAGAAGAAGAATGGAGGCCACTAGGTTCCATCAGAAACAACCATATGATTACACCAGAAGATAACTTAATGTTACAGAGTCCATTTGAAGAGCAGGAGATATGGGATAGTGTGAAGGCATGTGCTGGAGACAAAGCACCTAGCCCAGATGGATTTTCAATGGCCTTTTTCGTCAACTACTGGGATGTGGTTAAAAAGAAAGTGGTAGCTGTTGTTCAAAACTTTCATGAACAAGGAATGTTTGAAAGGTGCCTCAATGCTACTTTTGTGGCTTTGATTCCTAAGAAGGTGGGAGCAAAAGAAGGGAGAGATTTCAGGCCTATCAGTTTGATAGGCAGTATATACAAGATCATCTCCAAATTATTGACTGAGAGGCTCAAGAAAGTGGTCAACAAATTGATAGATACTCAATAGATGGCATTCATTAGGGGAAGACAGATTATGGATGCAGTTCTAATTGCAAATGAATGCATTGATACTAGGAAAACAAGCAAGGAACCTGGGTTACTTTGCAAGCTGGACATAGAGAAAGCCTATGATCACCTGAACTGGAACTTTCTTCTGGAAACTCTAAGGAAAATAGGCTTTAGAGGAAGATGGATAAACTGGATAAAATACTGCATATTTACTGTGAGATTTTCAGTACTCATCAATGGAGCATCAGTTGGTTTCTTCCCTTCTCAGAGATGTTTGAGGCAAGGGGATCCCCTTTCCCCTTTCCTATTCATCATTGCTATGGAACGACTGAATGATATGCTGAAAAAAGCTCAAACAAACAATTGGATCAGGGGCTTCAAGGTGAACTCTAGGGCTGATAGCAACATGATGATCTCCTTGCAAGTATGCTGATGACACTGGCATTTTGCGAAGCTGATAGAGAACAATTGAAAATACTAAGGGTGATCTTCATTCTCTTTGAAGCCACCTCTAGACTACAATTAAGTGGCATAAAAGCTTCATTTATCCAGTTAATGAGGTCTTGGAGATTCAAAGACTTGCTGAGATTCTTGGAGGGAAGGTAGATGAATTACCTACTGTTTATTTTGGGATGCCACTAGGAGCCAAGAGCAAGTCAAAAGGAATTTGGAATGGTGTGCCGGAGAAGTATGAAAAGAAGCTAGCAAACTGGAAGAACCAATATCTATCTATGGGGGGAGGCTAATCTTGATTAAGTCTGTTCTTGATGCCATGCCTACCTATACGACGTCTCTATTTCCAGTGCCAATTAATGTAGCGAAGAGAATAGATGCATTAAGAAGAAATTTCCTATCGGAAGGCAACAATGACAAGAAGAAGTTCCACCTGGTCAAATAGAACTCTCTTACCACTAGCAAGAAGAGAGGGGGATTAGGAATCAAAGATCTGAGAATTCATAATCGGAGTCTGTTGATGAAGTGGCTATGGAGATTTGCGGCTGAGGAGCAAACACTGTGGAGAGAGGTAGTTAGGGAGAAATATGGAATGGAAGGAAAATGGACAACCAAACCAGTGAGAAGTCCATATGGTGTTAGTGTATGGAAGTCAATTAGGAACTTGTGGCCAAAAGTGAGTGACAGGGTAAAGTTCAAAGTTGGGAATGGTAGGAAGATTTCCTTGCGGGAAGACAACTGGCTAGGCCAAGGCCCTTTGAAGCTACTCTTTCCTGACATATATACCTTGAACCAACAACAACAATCAACTTTAGATGAAGTATGGAATAATCAAGGTTGGAACCTTTCTTTCAGAAGACTTCTAAATGATTGGGAAATTGACAGAGTAATTGTGTTTTACAAGACCTTGGAGCTATTCACTGGAACCAACTCTAATCAAGATCTCATCATATGGCAAGGGAACAGGCAGGGGAAATTTTCTGTTAAGTCGGCATTTAAGGAATTCAACCTGTCAAACAACCAAGTTGGTTGTTGGCCATGTAGATGATATGGAAAGCGAAAATCCCCTATAAGGTTGCTTGCTTTTCATGGCTACTAGCAAAGGAAGCGGTTCTAACTCAAGATAATCTAAGTAAAAGAGGATTTCACTTGTGTTCTAGATGTTACTTGTGTGGAGGGGAGGCAGAGACAATTAGTCATCTCTTTTTGCATTGCAAATTCACTGTACAAATATGGAGAAGCTTTATTAGCTTAAAAGGAATGGCAATGCTAGGAAGAATTCTTGATGTTCTAGCATGCTAGAATAAAGAGGGCAATCTTTCTAGCTATAAAGAGAGATGGAGCATTGTCTCAGCCTACATTTGGTGGACAATCTGGGAAGAGAGAAATCAGAGATGTTTTGAAGACAAGTCCAGTAACATCTAGAAGACAAAGATGAAGTGTCTAGCTCTTTTCTATTTTTGGTGTAAAGGAAAGTCTTTAGAGGATCGTGAATCCATTTTTGATGTTCTAGATTCCTTGTGAGAAGACCAAGGATCAAAGGCGCTTTTCTTTCTTTTTTGGGCTCTCCTATGTAATTATAGGTGTCTACACAAATTCAGTGAAGACTATATATCAATATACAAATATGTTACCTTCTAAAAAAAAAAGATGATCTTGAAAATAAAGGTGCGTCAAATGTTGATTACTTCTCCTTGTATTGAGCAATGAACACTGCATTTGTACTTATATCTGTTCTGGGCAATTTAAAAACCAAAATGAATCGAACCTGATTCTGTTTTCAATCTATTGAAGACCTCGAAAAATACTAGATGATTTCTTCCCATCTATTCGAGCCTTGGTTATCAAAAGAAATTATATCATCTAAATTCGTATTGCAACAGTTTCTTTTAGACCCTTGTAAGTTAGCTAGGCTTTTTCTTATATTCATCGGTTGTTAACATTTGGAAGGCTATCAATGAGATTATCCCTAGTTTCCTTAGCTTAGCTTAGCAGTAGTAGCTTTCTTCCTCGGTTTAGCTAGTGTTCTTAGCTCGAATTTCAAAATGCAACAGGTTGAAAAGTTAGATTGATAGAAGGAAAAAACATGTAATAACCTGAATAGATTAATAATTATGAACTTAAGTTGTATGAAAATAGGTCAAACGTACATCAAAAAAGAATGGCATCAAACATGCGGGGACGTCCAAAACAGGGAGTCTCATATAAATTGAGATAGACTCAATGCTGGGAGTATCAATCAGTTTTAGTAATAGCTCCTTAAGACTAAGTGCACTAACATAATTTGATAGTAAAATTTCATAATTCTGACTGTTAAATTAGGACAGTTTAATAACAGGAGACAAACAAAGAATGATTAGGATTAGAACCAAAACCTTATCGCGAACCCAACCACCAGCAACACGAAGCTGTGTTTTGAGATTAAATTGCTCGACAACTTGAAGAAGACAGTTGAATATCTTCTCCTCATGTTCCGTCAAATCAATATGGTCCTTCACTTGGACTGACGACGGCGGAGATGCTGGCTTCTCCACCATTGTTGCTACTCCGGCGTAAAACCCTAGCGCCGGCGGCGGTTTGTGAGCGGAGAAGATTGAGAATCTCTTGAGTTTGAAGGCTGGAAGAAGGAGGAGGGATGAACGAAGGGGAGAAGAAGTAGGAGGGTTTCGGAAAGTGAAGAGACGAGGAGGGCGAGTGGCGTTAAATGTTGAAAGGGCTACGGCTATACTCAAAGCCTTCATTTTTTCTCCTTTCTAACGGCCTAGTGATGACCCGCTTTTAAGCATGCTAAACGGGTCGGGTCAGCTCGATGAAGAATCTGCTTGTGCTAGTCACGTGACCAGCCCAATGTACGTTCAAAAAAATATTTATAAAATTAATTAATTAGAAAACTTAATATTGAAAATGGCAGATTTGTCGAATTGTATTTTATATATACTAGCTTTAAAGTCCATATCAATGAATATAAAATTTGGAAATTATACAAAGATTATCAAGCTATGTGATAAATTATAAAATAAGAAAAAAAATTAAAATATACAAGCTTAATAAAGACTATTGATCCTTTTTAGCCAACTTAATAAAGAAAAAATTATATCACGCAAAAGTATTCTAATGCCTTTACATAACTTCGATACATGAGTTGTGCATTTGCTTTAATAGCTCAAATAGAGAATAATATTTTGACTTGTATTCAAGTATCATGTAAAATATACTATGTTCTCATAGCCTTAAAGAAATAAATTCTATTTGCTCAAAGTACCTAATATAAATTTCATGTTAATCTTATTGAATTCAAATTGAAAAATGCCAAAAATAATAAGATACTCCATATATTGTTAGATATAATTAATATATAAAGAATTTTATTAGATTAGTAATTCTAAAATCCAACAAAATTTATTTCTAGAAAGAAATAAATGATATAAATTTAATCATTATATCATTATGATATAAGTTAAATTTGCTTAAACATTATTTATATTGTTAGAGTATCTACGTTGTTAGAGTATTATTTAGCTGCAAAATTCTAACGTAGGATATAGTGTTGGAGTACAAACCCATAATCAAACATTAGTAAACAACTATCAAATAGAAAATTATAATTTGAGATTTTAACCAATATAAAAAATATGCATGTAGACTTATAAATTTATTTCGGTTATATAAACTAAATTTATTAAACGTGTATGTTTTTGCATGTCACACTTATAAAAGTTCCCAAATGTTTTTTAGATATTTCAATATAGTTAGTAATCTTCCTTAAATATGTAGTATACGCTAGCAAATTTTATTTTTTAAAATCCTAAATATTAGGAACTTTTACATTGTATATAAAGAAATATATAATAACAATAATATTAGTTGATTTAAAATCCTAAATTTTAGGAAAAATTATCAAATGACAATTTTGTCTAGTATGAACTTTATTTTTTAAGGGTGTAAAAGGCGAACGACATTTCGCTAAGGGCCTTCGTGCTTTTAATATAATATAGATTAATTAAAAACAAGTAAAAATAATTGTTAAAAAAAATAAAAAATAAAAAGTAGGTAAGCGTAATATCTTATACAATGAGGGAGACTAGTATGATGGAGCAATGTGAGAGAAGATCTTTAAAATTATCTTAAAATAATTTGAGGGAAAAACAGTTTGTTATGTATAGGAGAAAATGATAAAAAGTAATTCTTTATATGTGAGGATAGCACTGTAGCGGATTCATAATTTTCAAATCGTGGGTGCTCAACTATTTTTTATCTAAAAATTACTATTGAAACTGAGTGCTCTATTAATATATTTATATGAATTTACTAGTTTTTTATGCAAGTAATAGTATTTTGCTCTAAAAGTAATAGGTGCTCAAACGATCATAACCCATAGAGTGGTCAGTGGATCCGCCCGTATAGGTTAAAATCATTCTTTGTATTTATCCTTTAGCATATTTCATCCTTTAAGTTTACTAAAAATAGGCACACTTTTGATCTTCATTAAATATTAAACTAACATTGTAAGTCCTTTTAAAAGATCCAAACGGAACTATTCCAACTATTAAAGTGATTACCTAATTTTAATTGTAGAATTTCTAAAATTCATTGGGGCATTGTATCTATACCCTCTTTTTGTGTCACGTTTTAACTTGTGCTCGCTTTGCAAAAAAAATTGCAAGCGTACCCGTTTTTTCGCATAACTTCAGCATACGGGGCTGAAGTAGCAAAGACAATCACGCAAAACTTCAGCATTCTAGTAGCCGGGCCTGAAGTTTATCTCTAGAGCTATAGTTTTTGTTTTGTAACTGTCGAACTTCAGCTCTAGAGCTGAAGTTTTTGTTTTGTAACTGGCGAACTTCAGCTCTAGAGCTGAAGTTTTTGTTTTGTAACTAGCGAACTTCAGCTCTAGAGGTGAAGTTTTTTTTTGTAACTTGCGAAAGTTTTTGTTTTTGTAATTGGCTAGAGCTGAAGTTTTTGTTTTGTAACTGGCAAACTTTAGCTCTAGAGCTGAAGTTTTTGTTTTGTAACTGGCGAACTTCAGCTCTAGAGCTGAAGTTTTTGTTTTGGAACTATCGAACTTCAGCTCTAGAGCTGAAGTTTTTGTTTTTGTAACTGACGAACTTCAACATTAGAGCTGAAGTTTTCTTTTGTAACTGGCGAACTTCAGCTTTAGAGCTGAAGTTATTTAGTTCATCACTAGTCTACATTTGCTTACAAAAACACTACATTGGATACAATACACGCATAGGCACCAAGTACACACCTTGCAAACAGCGAAACAATACATTTGAATGTTTCTCTTATTTCTTATTTCAAAGATAACAATATGAAATAAGAGAGCTTAAAACGTCCAGAAAACAGTGATGAGGAAGGAACTTCCATAGTTGAAAGAGAGTTGAAGTTCAGGTTCAGCTAATTTCTTTTTCTCTCACAGAACTAATTAAAGGTTGTTCAGTTAATCATATAGGTGCCGCTTTAAATAATTTATTTATAAATAATCTGATAAACATATTTATGACAGTCATGCCATAAACTGAAGTTCTATAGCAGCACCAACAGCAGCAGCAGCACCAACAGCAGCAGCAGAAGAAGAAGAAGAAGAAGAAGAAGAAGAAGAAGAAGAAGAAGAAGAACACGAAGGAGGAGAAGAAGGAGGAGAAGAAGGAGGAGAAAGGGGGCTGAAGTTATTTAAAAAGTGGGTACAAGTTAAAAGTTTAAAAAAAAATGTGTATAGGTTAAATGGGGTCGACCAAATAGGGCGCCCCCGTGCAATTTTTACAAATTCACCCCCGGGCCCATGTGCCCGGATTTCAGAAATTTTTGAAGAAAGTTGTCACACATAACCTCATGAACTCAAATATATGATTTTCATTAAATTCCATAACCATTTTCGTGGTTAAATCTCATTTTTCTTAATGAAAACCTAGATTTTTCATCTAAACCCATGATTTTTACAAATTTACATGTTAAAATCTACCCATAATCTATGTATTAAACTCATATTATGTAGGAATTACTTACCCTCAATAGCTAGGTTAAAATCCCCCTTTTTGAAGCTCCAAAATCGCCCTAGAGTACTGTTTGCAACAAATTTATTTGTGATACAAAAATAAATTGCAACCATAATATAAATATGAAGAAACATAATTTTATTGATAAAATGATGCGGGTACAATTCTGTTGTTCCCCTGATTCTTCTCTTTAGATCGTTCTCTGTGATTTGAAGGCTGAAACAGCGTATTTCTCGAACGTAGGATAATGCGAACTTCTTTAGGGTGTATTTGATCTCCATGAAAAGGAAGAACATTCGTTGATCACTTCAGCGACTTTGAGAAAGTTAATATTTGATGTCTTTGATCTCTTTGTGAATATTCCATAAATTTTTATGGAATTTCGAGATGCTCTCAAAGGGAATATGTGGCCTCCTTTTATAGGTGTAGCTAGGGTTTTGGATAGAGTACCCTCCAAGCTAGGGTTTCAGGTAGAGTAGCCTCCAAGTTAGAGTTTCAGATAGAGTAGCCTCCAAGAAACCTCGTTGGACTCTACTTGTAGTATCTTAAATTTGAATTTGATGCGATAAAATTTTGATTTCTACAAATGCCCCCTACTTCAAGGCTTGTCGGGGCGTAAATTTACAAGATCGTCGTAGACGAGGCTTGAAGTACCAGCAAAGAAGACACTGCATTCTTTTCAATGTGAGAGAAGAGATGAAGGGCAGATTTGGTCCCACTGGGCGTGCCAATTTGTTTGGCAACAAATTTATGCAGAGAAAAATATAACTGCAATCACAAACATCTATAAAGAAAAAAGAATTTTATTGATAAACATTGCATGTTACAACTCTGTTTATCCCTTGATTCTTCCCTCCGATTTATTCTATATGATTCGAGGGCCTTAGCGGCGTATTTCTCGAACGTAGGATGATGTTGACCTTCCTCAGATGTATTTGATCTCCATGAAAAGGAAGAACATCCGTTGATCACTTCGGTGGCTTTGAGAAAGACAATATTTGATGTTTTTGATCTCTCTATGAATATTCCATGAATTTTTATGGAATTTCGAGATGTTCGTAAAGGGAATATGTGGCCCCCTTTTATAGGTGTAGCTAGGATTTTGGGTAGAGTACCCTCCAAGCTAGGGTTTCAGGTAGAGTAGTCTCCAAGTTAGGGTTTAAAATAAAGTAGCCTCTTAGAAACCTTGATGGACTCTGCTTGTAGTATCTTAAATTTAGGATCAAACCCAAATTTCATATAGATTTGATGCGATAAAAATTTTGATGTCTACAAATGCCCCCTACTTCAAGGCTTGTCAGGGCGTAGATTTACAAGATCGTCGTAGACGAGGCTTGAAGTACCGGCAAAGAAGACACCACATTTTTTTCACTGTGAGAGAAGAGATGTAGGGCAGATTTAATCCCACTGGGCATGCTAGAATTTGTAAACAATAAAATTGCTTCGAGAAAATAAAATCAAGACCGAAAAATATTGCAAATATCGTAATATTTTATTTCAAACAATATAAGTATTACAGTTTCTATGAATCCTCTGATTCTTCTTTCTAACAGTAAATAAAAGAGCTTTTGAGCTTAATCTTGAATTTTATTTTATTTTAATCCAAATGCTTGAAGCCTGATCTTGATCTTGACGTATTTTAATCCAAGGGCTTGCAGCTTGTTCTTGAATCTTCATCTTGATCTTTTAATCTTTAGAACACTTGAATGCTTGTAGCTTTTAGAGAAATCTGCAACGTTTGAT